CGAACTCTTTAAGGGACATCTCGTCCAGCTCAAGAAGAGCATGTACAGCAGGCGTAGCCTCGAGGCGGACGTCGCTATCTTCCTCCCCCGTCATACCGTTGACGAGGGTGTTTAACTGTGTACCGTCGTCTACGGTAGACACACCCTGGATCAGGGTCGACGCATGGCGTTCGCAGTCAGCTTACGGCGTCGCCGTCGCCTCTGTACAGAGATTATATGTCTCGGTGAGACCAGGGTGGACATGCACTCCGCGTCGTCCAGTGTCACCCTCACTGTCCGCTACTTCGGAGCTCCGATGTTATCGACAACATCCGACGAAAAGCTGCTAACCCCGCAGTCTTCGTTCAGTGGATAACGTGCCGCTCCACGCGCATCTGAAGGGCCGTGCCCAAGATGCCTCGGAGCTTCGACCGAAGTGCCGCATGTCAGTTCCCATTCTCGCGCTCGACCATCGAGTTTTGATATGGCTAGCGCCACGGATAGCGGATCGCAATCCGATTACTCCAAGAGTAATTATAGCCTTGACCCATGACTAATTAACTCTTCGGTTTGAATTCAAAACTGAATTTATTTATTTTTATCTGCGGCAAACCCGCCTAATTTTATTTTGCATAGATTTTTCTAAATATGTATAATAAAATCTGAATACATGTATAACTACTAGCTGTCCAGCCCCGTACCGTATTCTTGTTTGGGTGTGGTCACACCATGCCCATCTGGTGTGACACACACCCCTGTTATCAGGGTATGTGCAACCCCGTTACAAAATGGCTAATGATACGACCATCAATATGGCGCAATACTTCGTGTCGGATATCCAGAAATTGTGAGATCATGACTCACTAACGCTCTATCGATACATCGACGATTACGGTTTCCAAAGTTTACATCTACTGTAATATGAGTGAGTTATAGTATATCGTGGATTTCACATTATAGAGCTGATGCACATTCGGTAACGGCTATAAGCTGATGTCTTCTGTCACAGAGTCAGTAGAGATGAGTAACTTGGCAGAAATCCTTGAGAAGGATCGGTCTCTGAGGTCAGCAAGGATGCCTCATCTCTGTCACAATAAAGTGGTGTTACTAAGGCAGCACTACCCTGTGGCACGGCCCCCAAGCTAAGCAGTTAATTGTTACAGGTTTGTGGTAAACAATATGACTGAAGTGACCGATGCAGTCCTAGGGGTTTTAGTCTTCCATCATTAACTCCAGCAGACGTTGTACGAAGAACCATCCACAGGGATGTTTGCAAGACACGTTTAGCCTCAGAGGATGAGTTGGATTTGTCATCCGACATCGATAATCTCATATTTGAAGCATCTGCAATTAGCTGAGTTGTGAGGAGTTGGACAATTTTCGTCAAGAATCGGACTTAATCTTCTTTGCAGAGGAAATAGCAAGCCGTAGAGAAAAAAACACCCTTAACAAGTGTTGCCCCCGGATCGAGGAGTATATTGGAGATTTATTCAGTAAGGGAAAACAAATACAGCGTCACCTGAATCGACCCTTACCAGGGAGTAGTGTGGTGTTATATACGGTTTTTTGTGTACAGCACGATGCAAGTTTGGTGTTGGAGAACGCATACCCTCTGCTCGTCGCAATTCCATCTTTCAGAATGAACGGCAAGTAGCATATTTTTTCAGCTCCAGTTTTAGAGTAGAAAAGCTGCAAAAAATACTACATCTCACCAGCTCTTGTTCAATACCGAAAATTCATCTTGGGCAGCTGAGAGCAGTTTTCCTTACGTTATGATATAATATACTTTTCAAAGCAAATGATCGGATTGACAATATTACGAGCAGAGACACGTTTGCAGTGCACCTTTTACGATTGTCACGAAGTACAGATCATCGCGTTAGGACAGCTAGTAATTTCCCACCAGACTGCTATTTACTAAGCGTGTACTTTATAATTGTGCAATATCAAATGAAATCTCTTTTAGCGCTTCTAGACGTGCTACAGCAAATTTGTTTAATTCAGACGCATCGGATTGACTCTGCGGCATCGAATATCACAATCAAATGCTCATCACGTTGTCATCATCTGAGATACCAAGTCAGAGTTGACATCTGATTAAGATGGTACTGCATGATGAGGACCACAAGTACATGATACATTACGAGGCACGTGATACTCTCGGGTGTCTACTTTGATAAATAATATTCATGCTACTTTGTGAGCATTTTATACTGGTGCTGCAACATATGTATGGGATCACAAGATTGTGCGCATGTGTGAAATGTTCCAAAAGGGTCACTCTCACTACATAAGCCAGCACCTCTGATCAGCTAGCTGTTTCGGCAGTCCACAACTATGTGGTCTTGTCTTTTAAAATATAAGTACAGTAATACCCGTAAGGTGGTTCTCGTGTATCGTTTAAGCGAAATGGCTTGTCTCGCAGCTAACAGCGGGACCGTTACTGATGGGAAACTAGTGGAGCTATCATGGATTTCCAAACACGGATTTACGTCAACATGGCTTGCCAGTGACCATTAAGTCGGATCGAGATTTTTGCTTTGCATCAAGTTTTGAAGGAATTTATCTAATGAACAAGATACCCGATTGAATATGTCAACCGCTGACTATCCACAGATAGATATATAGTCAGAGCGAATATCGCGTGGCAAAATACTTTTTTAGATCAGTTAAGCGGAGTGACCGCGGCGCTACAGCGGAAAGACTCACTAATTTAGCTTGCTCTGGAATACGCAGTGAATGCCTCTACAGGCGCACCCCAATTTATATTAGTGGTTCAGTTGACTTCCATGTTCCTTTGAGACCGCTTCGAAGTGACTCCCGTTTAGATGGAGAAGGGTATGATTACCTGGTTGACTTTCGAATATCACTTTCACAATTTTCTTGATGAGATTTAGCATCGAACGCTGAGTGGGCGACGCTACGGCTTTCAGTTAGGATGTGCAAAAGCAACATAATGACGCCATACACAGACGAAACACAAATGGATAATTAGTGAAAAGGGGGGGGGGGTAATGCCGACGTTCTATTTACACAAGCATTGCCTGAGCTGTATGCGACTAATTTGCGTACAGGATTGTTCAAGCAAGGAACAAAAAATCAAATTGAGTTACATTCTTAACATTCCGCAGACTTTCCTGTGTTCTACGTTAAACTAACTGTAAAGGCATATCAAGATCTTGCTTGATCACATCCATGAATGTGTAACGCTCTGTTTGAGTCAAAGCAGCGTCTCAATCTTTTTTGTGGCATAGCTACTTTCTGCTCTGGAATTGGATATGGCTCTGAGTCACTAAAATTGGCGTGGCTCACGGAATAAATCAGAAAATTGCCATCTGAGGATCAAACGCACGCTCAGACTTTTCAAAAGTGTCGACTTTTCGCCAGTATTGTATAAGCGGCAGGGCAGAAGGATCGTTCTCTGATAGCATTTCTTATGATCAATGGGCGGCGCGTTTCCGTATGAAGCTGCCAGTGGACCGGCGATTTCACCAGGGTGACAGTATGGGTATGATGAAGTTAAAAAGTTCCCTCACTTGAAAAACTCTTTGGTGTTTATGGTCTTACATCGGAAAGATTGCCCTGAACTCGCTGCCGTTCACGAGTTGGTGCACACTCTGTCCACACGTTGAGAGACAGATTTGCCCGGAGATGCACGCTTTTATTATCAAATAGGGTCCAACCATGCTGCAAATTTGAGACATAGTCGATAGCTGTAGCTGCTGCCTCGCGGGGTGAGAAGTGCAGATATAGCAAAAATCGAAGATGATAACTTTTCACCCTGACGTCTACGTCGTGTTTGTGCCTCGCATACTCGAGCATTTGCTACGTCACAGCTTAGAAAGCTGGTTTGTACAGCTGTGAGACGGCTCAAGCGAAAGTTCTTCTTCGCTATGTGCTCGATTTTAAGTGCGATAGCGTTCAAAACGAGATATTCTCCTCATGGTGGGTAAACATATATTTGACTACTGTTTCTAAGAATGCTGGCGGTAGCCCTCGCAAATAGTGATCTGTGTGATCAAAAATCGCTCGCAGAGCGAATTTTAGTGCTTATTTCACTCTCTGTTCAAGTGGAAGGCCCGCATACACCGGCATGCATGAAGACCGTAACGGTGAAGCAACTAATATTAGCATTAAAATCAAACTTCATGCCGTGATTGAGCTCGCTACCGTGGTGGCGAAGTGAACGTCGTCTTGTATCCGTTGTGGGGATATCGCCACGTCTTCCGAGGGAACGCGCACGAAGTTTGTTTTCGTCTAGAATAGAAACGAGGCGGAGCAGAGCGATTGCCTCAAACTGAGCAAACGGCTGTCAAGGTCAGGACGAGATTACGGCAGGGTCATAGCTAGGGAGTCGCTATGACGATCTTTACGAATATACTCTCATCACCGAGAAAATGGCTGTAGGGTTGTCGGCCTCAAGGACGGCCCCTTTCTCCGAGGCTCGCCAATTCATATGATAGGAGTAAATGTCGTCGCAAAGACTTTGTTAGAAGCAGGCAGTAGGAAGAAGGAAATTCAGTGCTCGTTAAGTATTTATTTCAACGCAATCTCTTGAGACGACACACTTCTTGAGCTTCGATGTGGCCCACTGGTGGTTGAAATGGAGTACGTACTGTACTATCGCATCCATACACTTTCGTGCCATTGCATATCATACTTTTGTGCATTTGTCTCGTTCCTTTCGTTGTTCAATTTACTACTGCAAACATTCCTGGAACGTTCTTATGACCAAAAAACTCGTTGAGGAGATAAATTTGCCGACATTTGATTGACCCTTAAAAACGAGTACTATCATGCATCGCCGCAGCTATTAATATCAGGCTTAAATGGCAATTTCATCAAAAAAAATTCAGGAAATGAAGAAAAAGTTGTTATTACAAAATCAGCTCGAATGGTTCTTCGCCTACCACAATATAATGATATTCTTCACAAGCTTATCCTATCAACACGAGCGACGCCATGCCATCCTTAGTAAGCATGTCGTACTCAAACTTAAATATTAAATCCATAGCTCCTTACTATGTCCCTGAAGCGCAACGCGAGCATGAGCCGCCATCTCGTCGCGTGCCGCAGCGTATGCAAAATGTTCCTGGGACTGACACACGATGTAAGATCTCTCCGTGGGTATCGCGAATATGAGCGATAAGATCGCTGCGTGCTCGAAACAAACGACTGCAAAATGTGCAATTCTCCCAAATCTCATCATCTGCACTAGAAAGGCGACTGCTAGTCGACGCATCATGTTCCCCAGACGACCCCGAGCCTGACGGTGGGGGGGATGTCACTCGTGCCAACGGAATGTCGCTCACTATGTCCGCTTCGTCCTCACCGATAAATAGCATTTCAGTAGCCGTTATAAACGGTGTGGGCTGTCGATATCTGGGGGCGACGGACCCTCGGTCATCTCGTACTGAACGCTGCACTGCTCTGAATCGAATTGGAAACAATAAAGGAGGCTGATTCTTTCGCTTCTCAAGCGTTAGGAAACCAATGGCTTTGCTAACTTCACGTCCACCACCAAGAGGAAAGTTCTGCGTGAATCCGATGGAATGATCGGGCCAGAAACAGCTGGTCAGTGTGAATTTGGAAGTTGACGAAAGCGGCTTGCGATCGCCGATTTGGATTACAAACATAGTCTTCTGGTCGCGCGAGCGCGACCATTTGAGGTACTTAGAGATTGAGCTGGCGCGCAGGGACTTGCCTGAGCTGACAGATACGAGGTGCACTCGCATATCGTCCAAAATGTGGCGGCTGTGCACCCCGTCAACCGGAACGATCTGTACAAACTCATTGTCGGCAGTCTGTCCAACACACTGCGCATTGTAAAAGCACGGTGCCACACTCTCTTTTTCCTTACACACTACGTAAGCGTCGTAGCCTTGCCAAAATAATTGTAGCGCGATCTGGTCACGAGACGTCGTCCACGAACCACCATTTTCCATCGACGATTGAGTGCTCACAAACGTTTCTTCTTCCAACTGTGGCTGCGATGACTCCTCGTCCAATGGGTAAAATTCAGTCAGTTCGTCATTCTCATCCAATGAAAGGCTACTGCCATTGTGTTCTTCGCGCATCGTAAGCAAGAGCTGCGACGAAAGCAGCCTTTCCAAAAATGAACCCTACTGCTTCAAGGCGGTTTGATGGCCGCCGATTTGCGTATGGATTGGTTTACTGTATTGCAAAAGGACTTTTGATTACGTAGAATGCAGTCAATTGGTTAATTAAGCAGCTCAGAAGGGCGAAGAAATATCACTCTATTCCATTGCATGAGATTCTGCTTAGGTTTGCAGTTTCTGCTTGAATGAGTTTTATTTCGGTGGCTACTCGCTTAAAGTCTGGGAAGTTGACACAGTCAGATTTACTGATGTCGAAGTCCGCGTACCGGTAAACTAGAGCTTATAACGAACTACCTTCATATAGCTTGGGTAGACCATATATAGCCAGCTACAATTGACAATTGATTATGTTTAAGCTTTTCGTCAAATTTTTCAAAGCTCTGGCGATTCGAGCGGGTTTTGCTGAGGCAGGGGCGTTGCAAAGAAAGCTTATAGAATTTGCTCACGCATGCTCTTCTTCACCGCCGTCATGAATTTACTGTTATGTTCTCGTACAACGTAGCATTTCCAAGTTTATCTAAAGTGCGAAGCACGCAGGTGATGTCGCAAAATTCGTCTCACCATAATGTACTAGAAACATTGATGCGATGTGATTGAACAATTGATTTATTGGTGCACTGTGACTACATTGCCTTGCAGATTGATATTAAAGTAATATGCTAAATGATTGTACCTCGATAGGCAATAATTACCTAATGTCGCTGAGATGAAGAAGATTGATAAAATGTTGAAGGTCATCCAATGCGATCTTCTTCAGCTTGGCAACCCTATTATGAACGTAGTGGGAGGTTTACCCATAGACGTGTGGCTTACACTTGCCAGAAATCAGAAGGTTCAGCTTATTATACTAAACTTTAGACAAATCTATTAAATTGCACAATATATGTACATTATCAATTTGCCGACTTACATATCATACGAACTTGTAGAAAAAGAATTGAAAAGTTTTTACAATCAGAAGGGGCATATTACGTATCATTCATAACCTTCTCGAAAACCATATGCTGATGCTCTAAAAATGGGAATAAAAAATATATTTTATGTATTGCACACCTACTTCAAAAAATTATTTTTCGATTATGACCCCAAAAACTTTATAATTTATGCAATGAGCTTGACTCGGACGCTGTACCGGGAGCTTCTCGCTGGCGCCAAACTCCTAGACAGTCATGCATCGCTGCGTGCACTAATTTCAACAGATCTGCGTGAATCCTCCCTCGCTCCTGGATCAAAGGCACGTCTTCCACATGTAGAAGCGTTTAATCGCTCATTGGTGCGGTATCTCGGAGGTCGTCACTTGTATTTGCCCGACATTCGGCGTCCTACGCTACGACAGCTTGTGCGTGAGGAGTTTCGTAAATTTCAGTCGTCTACAGGCGACGTAGATGGCATTGACACCGCTTTTGTTGCTTTACGAGCACTTAATGATACGATTGCTGAAGCTAAGGCATTAAGGCTTCCGTTTGAAATTCCTTTCGATACTGACACTCTCTACGATGCGCAATCGGCAGAGTACGACATTACGTTCAAAATGTGATGAAGAATAAAGCGACTTATACGTCATCATGCGTTTTACCTTGTTGCAGAAATGCTGCGTCGGGAATGTTTCTACTTGCTCATCCGGTCTTGAATGGAATTTTCAGTCGATCAGTCGTCATTTTGACGGAACATACCCCAGAAGGGTCGAAGGGATTTATTGTTAATAAAGTGATGGAAAAGCCGTTAGGCCGGGTGTTTCAGGTGCCGTCTCGAGTCACGCGAGCCTTTGCAACAAGCACTGTACATAAGGGAGGTCCAGTGTCGATGAAAAACGCAGAGGTGACTTCGATTTCATGCATACACTGAAAAGTGCGAGCTCATTTGATGTTGTGACCAGGTTTTACATGGCAGGGCAGATTTTGGCGGTCAGCGCTTGTCAACATCAAACTTTCCGATGGCAGATGATCCTAGTCTCTTTGTGGGCGTAGATCTTGATGCAGCTGCAAGGGCTATTTACGATGAAACTGCAAAGCAAACGGATTTGGTATTCATAAGCGGAATGTCGACATGGTCTTCTGGTCAATTAGATACTGAAATAAAACAGGGCTCGTGGATCACTGTAAATGCACCAGTGACTCTTGCGCTTAATGCTCGTGCAGAATTGTGGCAAGATCTCATGCAGAGCTTGGGTGGTGAATACGCAGAAATGAGTTGCATGCCGCCTGTCAAAGATGAGGAATAGTTAGGGTCGACGCGGGTGTGATACCACAGCGTGGTCTTGAAGCCAATACAGCGAGATCGTATTTTCAAGCTATTGATATCCTGATCGTCTTTCTAAGTATGAATAGATAAAAGCGCGTAACAAAAGTGTGCTGACTCTGGATCGGTGACATCTCCAGACATTGTAGAATTTCCCATTCCATGACGTCTTTGTTTTGTGGTGACACCCAGTCAAACATGGCCACTCGGTTGCTTGGATTGCCAAATGTAAGAAAAAAGAACAAGCCGTTGGGCTTTAAAATACGCGCTAGCTGGTGCATGCTGCTCTTGGCGTCATTTAGATCGTCTGGTGAGACTGGAGCGACAAATTTCCAGTTTGTTTCAATTGCAGCCGTTTCGGGCTGAAGAAGCATTGCATCTAGACAACCTTTGTCGATTACACAATCCACAAAATCGGACTTCCAACCCATCATTTGTGTTAGATCGGCTACCACAAACTGGACGCCCCAACTATTCTTCTGACAGCGAGCTTGCATCTTTTCGATAACATTTGCGGCATAATCCATCGCAATGACATTTGTATAGCCATCACGCGCCATTTCTGCAGGAAGTCGACTTGTGCCTGTACCAGCGATTAAAATGCGGTTTGTCTTCGAGATATGTAAGCTCAGCAGCTCGCGAAGATGTGAGTATTCACAGTACCAATCAAATTCTGTTTCTGTCTCAAACCGCGCTTCCCAATAACTCTTTTTGTACAATCCCATCAAGGAGAGTTTACCTGCATGCTGCCGTATTAGCTCGGCTTCTGCTGCCACATCCTTGGTCGTCCAAGCAATAGAAAAAAGCTTTTGCTGTTCCATGCACATAAATGGAATAACTTTCAAATTGCTTTCTTCATCATTTTCACGCAGACTGAAGCGCAGTATCAGTATGTACATCAAAACACATCAATTTAAGAAGTTGCTTACCTCGAGCCAAATGCATCGAGCACGTAATGCGTCAGTTCGTCGAATTTATCACCAAAACGAATGGAGTAGGCCAGTAAAGGCAAACGTTGTAAGATAAATTCCACTTCTTTCTCAATTTGGTTGTCCTCAACCACGTATTCACTTTTATCGTTCTCTACAACTTTGTCAATTAATTCGATCATCTTGATGCGCAGGTTCTCATTTTGTCGAAGCTGCGTCTGTGCATCCAAAACCGACGTAAACTTCCATTTGTGTCCGACATGCAATACTTTGTTGGCCGCTAATAATGGGATCAGAGTCTCTACGCGCAACTTATGGCGACTAGCACTCGTCTTGGATGCTCGCGTCCTCACCACAGCATCTAAATCGCTCCATTTACCCTCAATGTCATGTGCGCAATCGTAAAGTTGTTGGTAAAGATGCTGTGGTACCTTATAGTGCGTCAGTTGTGAGGAATGTCGCGCTAGCCACACTTGGCGGACGCTCGCATCGTGCATTTAGCTCAAACAATTTATTATGTCGTAGAAACTATCAAAATACTAATTACTGCAAGAAAAATGCACAGCTACAATTGTCAAGCGACGCGAGTATCCGTCACGATCGAAACTTGAATGGACTTGAGAAACTCTGCACGTGGCTTTACCAAGCTTCAAGCTCAATTTCGAGGCAATAAAAGTCGTCGAATCCATACAGAGCGCGCACGTAACAATTTGCGTACGATTATTTGTTACCTTTCAGTACCATGACAATAAATATATTCGTATTCAATTGCTTTAGCTTGGTCTCCGTTCGTGCCCGCAAAGCTTGAAGCTGTGTATGCACTGCTGGAGGTAGCAAATTTACAACCCGGTGAGACGATGCTTGATATCGGTAGTGGTGATGGCCGCGTCGTCATTGAAGCTGCGGTGCAGTGTCTAGAGCTCAAAAAAGCTCGAGGCGTTGAGCTTGACGAAGCTCTCGTGGGTCTATCAAAGCGTCGAATTCTGGAGCGAGCAAACCAGGAAGCGATGAAATCTATTGGAAGTCACGAGCAAGATGTAAAACAGAACAAAATTTCATTTGCTGCCACAACATTAATCGAACGAGTTGAGATCGTGCATGCCGACTTTATGGACGTTGAAATGAATGATGTAGACGTTGTTGTATTGTTCTTCTTGCCACATGAGCAACTCGCCAATGCATTGCAAACAAAGCTGCGTCCCGGAACGCGTGTAGTGACGTATGTGTTTCAGATTGCTCAATGGAAACCGGTCAAAGTGATCTCAACTGTACCGTTCATGACGGCGAAAGGATCTTCGCCCATTTACCTTTATCAAGTGCCAGACGTCACATGGCGCCAAGGATAGCAACTAAGAAACAAAAGCTAATATTACAATGTCGTGCCAACGGCTTTTGTAGATCTTAACTATTTTGAGTGAATTGAAAGTTGACTTGCATTTGACGAATATCAATATCGAGGCATTAAGAAGGTTACATTCTTTGACAGTAGAGCTAGCACAATGGATTTTGGCTATGGAATCTGTGGACACAAGAATGTGTATTCTACTGGTGTCAAGGTTGGTAACTACGTTGAAGACCGTATTGGGGCTGAATTGGCACGTAATAGCTTGTCGAAGCCGATTAATAAGCACTCAGAGTATACTGCGAGCTTTATCCAGCCCTGCGCAATGCCGCACAAATGCGTCCACGCCCCTTCTGAGAATCCAGCGGAGCGAAACATGCTTCGTCAAGGTCTATCCTATAACCTTATGTTTGAGCACGGAAGACCGCACATGCGTTCGGATGCCGAGCAGATTGCTTGCTTCAGGCAGACATCCCGCGACTATGGTCAAGTTTGGCCTAACAATCAAATGATCAATCTTTTGAGCAGTGCACCGGATAAGAGGAAGCAACAAGAGATAAAGAGGCTGCAAGAGGCTCGTCAGGAGCGGAATCCTTATCTATCAACATCGAAGGCGGTGCATAGAGCTACTTGTGTTAATTATAATATAAAATAGTAGTTAAAATATATTAATCTGTGTTGTAGTGGTTTTCCCAGTCTTGAAATATCGCTGCAGAACAGGGGACGATACCTGAAATGAAGCTATGAAATATCTTGGTGAGGGCCAAGTTGATTTAGCTGTGTGAAGATATGTCAAATACTTTGGGAATACTTTGTCTTAGCCTGGTCATTTTCGCCAAATTCTGGCACTATGTAAAACATGTATTTCTCTACATCCTTTAGAATTTTTCGACTTTGTATCATATTTAGACGCCGCTTTACCTGCCATTTTCTATTCTGACAAGAAAAAATTATGACAACTATTGGGACTAGTGGAATCAGTCTAATATGTAACTCTTTAAGCCTCACCCTAATAAGACAAACAGGTAGATAGGGTACGTTACCGATTGAACGATCGCTTTCGTGCGCGACTTCCGTGGCAACTTACCACAATTTTAACGAGTGGATATCAAAGGCAAGATTATACGCGGCGAAATGGCTTCCAATACCGCCACATCATAACAACGCTAGGCATAATGAAAAAATAGAGAGTACGCATGAGTATCCCAACTCGCACAACTTGATTGCTGGTTATGTGATAGACAATAGTGATTATGTTGGAAACAAGTTAAGTCGTACCTAAGTAAACCAGGAGGAGTTATAAAACTCCCAA